TTTTTGTGGGGGGAGTACTCATATGAATTAGGATATAATTAAAATGAGACTTCCTTATATTATCTTAATGGAGTTCAAAGCTGAATAGCATCACCTTTATGATTAGGCATAGTAAGTAATTTGCACAGGAAAAACCATTTTAAATGACAAGAGAGCAAACTAATAGAAATGTGTCCTACTAGGTTTGCTGAGGTTTATATGCACATTTTGTGGATATAGGACTTATACTACAATACTTCTATAAAGTAAACCTGTAGGGCAGTGGAGGGATTTAGCAGAACCAGTAGCTATTTTTTTGTTGGCCAGGCCCAAAATGGACTTCTGGAAGTAGCATCCACACAGAGAACCGGTTGTTCACATATTTGAATCCCATCACTGCTGTAGGGTTTTCTGTGTGACGAAATAACTTGCTGCATGTAAACAAGGGTAGAACTACTATATGGTTGTGGCTGTCATCTTGACTTTTTTGACTACCACTCTGGACACCTCTGTAAGTAGTCTTTAATATTTTGTATTTGAGGGGGCTGGCTCTATTTTTTGGAAGAAGATTTTACTTCACATTTGCAAAAAACAGTCACAATCTTAGGGCCACTTTAGGATACTGAAGTAATCAAAATTGTCCCTTATTGTTCTCTGGTGATTTTCTTTTTTATCAGATTACAGTTAGATCATCGGAGAAGGAAATGATTCAGCAGATTGTCTGAAGGAACTAGATGTTTTCACTCTTCTGGACTTTATAGTGCTAGGAGGAGATGAACTCTTAGGATCAGTCCACACTATTTATACCTCCTATTGCAAAATGTAGCAAAGAGGATAAATGTCATTAGTAAATGGATTTCAGTATATGTCTCTTAAAAAATAGAAGCAATAGTTGAATACAAGCACTTTGGACTAAAAATACTTTTGTGTGTGTGCCACTGATATATAAAAGCTAATGCTGTTTGCTAGTCTTGGGGACTTTTATTCATTCATTCATTCATTCATTCATTCATTCATTAGTTTTATTTGCCACCCATCTCTTGCAATTAGGAAAAACTAGAAAAGCAAGCAATACACTGAGAAATAAATGCCTCAATATATTCTTTATACAGCGTATAACATTTATTCTTGAAAAATGCCATTTTTGCTTTTAAATTTTAATTCAGAGGAAATATCATTTTTAAATTCAGTTATTCATGCAGTAATTAATGCAAGCAATTGTGGATGGTGTCCAGAAATAATTGATATTAGTAATAGCAGTATAAAGAATGATCCCCATTTTATCTATGAAGAAAAAAAATGGAAACAGAAATATAGAAAAAAGAAAGTTCTCACTTTCTAATCAAGGCCTTTAATTTATCCTTATAAATCCTTCCAGGGAATGAAGCACAAATAAACTGTGGCAGTCTCTAAATTACAAGCATTGTATATATGAGACTCCAGATGAATTGTGTCTTGTTGTTGTTAGTAAACCTTCCCTCACATAGTCACTTATGGAGGAGAGCAAGTTTTATACACTCTGTAGAAATGAGAAGTGACATGGAAAGGAGTAAGTTACTAGCTCAGGAAAAAAAATCATTTCCTTCTCTACCAATACTATATATAAAGCTTTAAATTGTTAAAATAATTTTTCCTCAGACTTAATAGGGAAAAAAGAGTTTTTGCTGGAAGAGTTCTGCTTCGCAAATATCATTCTCTGTGAAAAAGTAGAATTAGCAACGGTGGTATTTATTAGTTACTTACCAAGCATAGAGGCCTCTCCATACGAATTGAGCAGCAATATACTGAATATTTTTCTTGTTAGTATTAAGTATTGTGTGTGCATTGGAGAATCTAACATGAAATTAATTAATCCTCTGTCATAAGTTCAACATGTTGAGTTTAGTTCAATTGTAAATATTAATAAAACAGTTTTTAAGTTTAGCAACTAAATTGCAAAAGTTGCAAGGTTTGAACTCAATAAAAATACAATGTGCTGCCAGGTTACTCTTTTATTGAAACTGCTTCAATTATGAATTTATATTTTTCTAGATTTCATCTCCAGGAGCTTAATAATTCATATGATTTACTTTCTGTCTTGATTCTTGTTTCCCAACTTACTGAAAAGTGTTCATTAAGAAAATTCATATTTGAGCATGCATTTGATCTTAATGAATTAAAACTTGATAGATGGATATTTATTACATCAATTAGAGAGTTATATCAGCCTTATAACTATTGTGATTCTAACATTTTCTAGTTCTAATGCAATATATATTTGCAGAGTCATACTTTTTCTAGAGTTACCAATTGACAACAAGCGAGCTGTGACTCTATCAGCTGCCCTAAAAAGACATCAAGTGGGTAGTCTCAAAGATAGCTGAATGAAAAAGATGAAACAGGGATATAAAAATGAAAAATGTTCTTTGAACCCTGTGTAAGTCTCCAGCAATATGAAAAAGAAGAGACAACTACTGTAACCAGGTTAAAATCAAATCACCAGGAATGGATTACATCCCAAGCTTCTGAAGGAACTGGTAGACACGATCTCAAAACTTCTGAACCATATCTTTCAAAATCCTGGAATACCGGGGAAGTATCAGGTGATTGAAAAAGAGTTGATAGGCTGTATTAACAGAGGGATAGAGTCAAAATCATGTGAAGTGTTAGTACCACTTTATAATGCCTTGGTAAGACCACAAATTGCATTCAGTTTTGGTCAGCATGATATAAAAAAAAGATGTTGAGACTAGAAAGAGTGCAGAGAAGAGCAACAAAGATGATTAGAGGACTAGATGAAGAATGATTGCAAGAATTAGAAGGACTGTGTGTGACATGATAGCAGTGTTCCAATATCTTAACGTTGCCATAAAGAAGAGGGGGTCAACCTATTCTCCAAAGCATCTGAAGGCACTACACGAAGCAATGGTTAAAAATTAATCAAGGAGAGAACCAACCTAGAACTAAGGAGAAATTATTGAGTGGAATGACTAGCATCCTGAAGTTGCGGGGTGTTCAACATTGGAAGTTCTTAAGAAAAGTTTGGACAACCTTTTGTCTGAAATGGTATAGGCCAGGGTAGGCAACCTTGGCTCTTTTATGACTCGTGGACTTCAACTCCCAGAATTCCTGAGCCAGCATGGCTGGCTGAGGAATTCTGGGAGTTGAAGTCCACGAGTCATAAAAGAGCCAAGGTTGCCTACCCCTAGTATAGGCTTTCCTGCCTGAGCAGGGGGTTGGACTGGAAGACTTCCAAGTTTCCAACTCTGTTATTCTGTTATTCTGTCCAAAATGGCTTTCCAGTTGCTTAGGAAAAATTAGATCAATGCTGGTAGCTCCTTAGCAAATAGAAAGGATGTTGGAAATTTTAACTCAGCAATATCTGGAAATCCAATGGTCTCCTCTCATGCTTCATAAGCTATTCAGAAACTATCCTTATTGAATTCAGTAGGAATTACTCCTCGGAAAATGTGTGCAGGATTTCAGCCAATCATTGCTTTAATACAAGGCAGGTCAGCAAGGAACTGTTAATAATAGATCTGGCAGGAGTATCACATTTCATCTATCTTTTTCCTGGAATTTAGCTGGCAATTCTTTTCTCGTGTCTCTGTGCCAACAAAATATGTATGTATAAGAGTAAATAACTGTAAAGTTTAAGTTTGTGCAGCTGAGTTAGATACCCAAAGATGAATTATGGTCTTTCATAAATGGCTTAGATGGTTTTTAGAAAAAAACTTAAATATTATAATAAATGGCCAGTTTAAATAGTTTGTAGTTAAGATACTGAATGATAGAAATTCAAGCCCATGTTCATTCTCAAGGCAGGAAGCTCAATAGGTGATTTGGCATAATTCCTTCCATCTTGGTTTTGGGCTACCTCACAGGATTGCTTTTGTAGGAATATACTGAAACATAAAGTGATTTATTTAGGAGATTTTTGTCAATAAAATATTGGATCAATTAACCTAGTATTCTTCTATTTTTAACTAAATAATTATAACAAATGGCAGATGTCATCTTAGGATAGCTATTTTCCTTTCTTTGCACACTCATTCACTCTCACACACTCATACTCACATGGATTGCTTCTTTTGAGGGTTATGTTGTATTGACCTTCCATTATGACATAGCAGAAGACAATTCATTAATTTAATATGAACATACCAAGGCAGCTTTGACCTCAGAAAGCTAAGCTGAGTTGAACTGTTCTAGTGTTAGATGAAAAACTATAGGAAATCCCAGAAAAAATCTCAAAAGAAAACAATGGCAAGCATGTTTCCATACTGCTCTCTGGAAAAGAAGAAACAGTAGAAAAATAAAGGGATTTGTCCACAGAGTCATCAAAAGTTGAGCTTTACATTGGGATGACATAATCAGACAATTTCAACACTAACACCGAATGGAACCACAAAAACAACCCAGCCAAGAACAAAAAAAATGTACTTTATGTCTGCAACTAAAAATTGAGCATAACAACAACCCCACAAAGTTAGATAATCTCAGGTTGCCTTCATCAGGAGCAGCAACATTTTATACTTTATGTCAGCCTGCATTCCTTCCTGCATACCCTTTCTCCAGTGTTACTTTATTCATCTCAGATAGATTTATTTACATATTGACCTTCCTAAGCAGCTGGGCATCCATGTGTAAATATTATTTCAGGGCTTATTAACCCTAAATTCAGTGGATGTTAAACTTTTCATTTGGGGGTTAAGAAGTGATGTACACACTATGATGTAAACCTACAGAATTAGGCACACAGTGAAAGGCAAGATAGTTCCTGTACTCTGTTGCTGCAGGCTCTCAGGAATGTTACTAGCAGAACATGTCTTTCCTGGACAGCCACGTTTGGAAGTTAGTTTACTGTTGACTGCAAAGCCCTGATGATGTCTATTTATGCTTGGATAGCAAAGATTAGTAAACTCTTTCCTTTCATCAGAGATAGGTTAAAGCACAGGGGCAAGGGAGTTTCGTGGGCTTTCCAAAAGTGAGGAATCAGGAGAGTGGTGTAACGGGGTGGGAGAGAGGAGGCGAAAGGGAGTGGATCTGACTGTTTGTGATTGGTAAGCTGTGCAAATGCATTTGCCAGCAGGACTTCAATGGAATGTGAAACCAAATCAGTTACAAGTTAAAGATAGACACACACAGACTACCCAGCATCTTGGGCAGGGATTTAAAATCTCTGGATTTCTGGAACTTTCTGCTTGCTTCCCCAGGATTTAGTTCCCATTTTTTTCAGACAATGCACTGGAATTATTAGGGAGGGTGAGCTGATCATGGTGCAAACAACAGGGTAAGTAGCAAGTGCTTTATTTAAATTTGGTACTTTACCATGCTTGGCTTCCCTTGCTCTAAGCATTTCATAAAGTCATAGTTAGAGATAATGTTTTCATAGTTGCCCTTTATGAGGCTCAAAATGGGTGCTTTGGTAGGCTGACATTATAATAGTACTCTGTTTAAAAATCCCTTTTTCTTCCCTGTTCCGAACATTGTAGTTTAAAAACGGCATTTCATTCCAGCCTCTTTTAATTTTCCTAGAGAAATGCAAGTTCTATTTCACATATTGCATTGAAAAAATCTATTTTTTCCAATTGATTTTACTACCCCTCTCTCTTATTTTTTAAAACATGGCTCAATAGCGGGCCATTGTACATCAGCCTGGTGGTTCTAATTCTGTCTTGGCTCTTTTTCAGTATCACTTGCAAATTGCAATTTGGGAACACAAATATATTTTAGTACTCTGAAAAAACATGTTTTCCCCCTAATTCCCTTACTTGGCATTCTTCATCTTTTGTATCTTTGTATTATGTATTTTATGTGGCATCAAAAATATATATTTGACAAATTAGAATTTGTAAAAACATCAGATAATATACTTAACAATAGAAATTTGTACACAACTATTTGTAAAATGCATTGGCCTTCGGAAGATGAATTTTATGAAAACATTGAATTTAAATTTTAAAATAGAATTTTAAAAAATTCTAACTAGAAAAGGACCTCTGGCATACTTGTTTCTGTGTTCCCCAAATAAGTATATAGTTTATTGTGTATTTCCATATTATAGTTTTTAAATGGTCAGACTTTTATTTAGTTATTGTAATTTATAAAAAATGATACTGTAATATATATATATATATTCTATGCTTCCCACGTTTGAAATTATGTGTAAAAAAGTAAGTAGCTGAAGGAGAATAAAGTTTTTCAGGTTTGCTTTGGTGTGGGTTTTTGATTTTTATAGCCAGTGTGGAATTCCTAATCCTCTAATATTTCAAGAGTTATTTATAGTAATCAGAGAATATTTCTCTAAAATATAAAATGCCATACCTAGCTACAACAGTTCTTATTTGATGGAAAAGTTTATGTATTTGACATTTTGTTCCTTTTGATAGTTGTCTAATTCCAACTTACCATGCTCCGGCAAATTTTGGGAGGAGACCTATAGTGAGAAAGTTAAATGTTTGAAGTTTAGTTATTTTTTTCTTATTTTCAGTTATTATGATTGAGAGGAAATAGAAAAATGTCTAAGAACTAATTAAAATTCAGAGAAAATAAAATGGAGATTATAACTGGTTATAATAGCTGCAATTTGTGATACCATCTATGTTTGGAATAGTAAGAAATGCCCAGAAGGATAATTTTTGCTAGAAACTGGGGATGGGGAGGGAATCCTTCTTTACATGTTTTTTTATATATAAGGAGAGGGATGCTCTGAAGACCCAGTTACTCAAATGCAGTTTGTATGCCTTAGGATATGTTTGGGGGTGTGTGTGTAATTATACCACATCCTAGACTAGACCATGGTATACGACCTGTTACCTACCAGATGTGTCAAACTGTGTTCCAGTGAGATTTGATTCTAAGGCCAAAGAAAAATTCAAAAATATAATCAAACAAGAGCTGTTTCTGGCTACAATAAATCTTGCCTTGAGCAACATCTCAAATGTGACATTTTTGTGTAGCTTTTATGATCTAGAAAATAAATATTCTGCATCATAAGACTACAGTAAATGTTTCCATATTTAACTTTTTAAATGTGTATTTGAGGCAACCTCACAATTTTTCACTAATTCTCATAGTGCTTGTCAACAAAACAAAGTATAAATGAACTATAAATATAAGGTAAATGTTAAATGTAAAATTATAAGTAAACCGTTCAACAGCTAGTTAGTTTGTTCCTAATTCAGCTGAACATTTGATATGAAACATAATATGCTGAAGAATACATTTACAAAATGATGTCACTTTTCCTTTGCTATTAAAACAGGTCAAAAGAGTAAATTACTGTTGTATTCTGAAGAACCCATGAGTTTTGTAATTTATCAAGGATTCCTTCATTTCTATGAAGATAGTTCAGCCACTAGACTGAATTTCTCCTGAGTGGATAATGGAGGCAGCAAGATCCAACCAATCTGATCAACATTTTCTGTACTGAGTGCGAGTAGGTTGGAACACATTGCAATATAGAAGGATCTCTCCTTAGAGAAACTGAAGCATAGTTGTTTGAAAGTGAAAAAGTTTAAAAATCACTAGATTAGATAATCCTTATGCTCAAGGCTGCCCCTGATTACAATTATTATGAATGCAACTTGTGGTGGAAACAAACTTAACTGTTGCTTTTAATATATTAACTGCTTCCTATGATGCTTAGATAGTTAACTTTTTATAGTATGAGGTCAAATGATTTTATTACTTATTGAAATCAGTAATCACTCTTCCACTAAAATAATGTGAAAAAATATTTAGCAGTAATTTCAGGATTTGTTCTTTGGCAAATTGTTTGCATCCATAATCATTTTGTATTAGCTCCAGAAAACATATTCTAAATCCACTTTTGTTCATCATGTTCAAAAGCTGGCCAGGGTTTAAGTGGGTTTGGACTAAGTTAGCAAAGATTAGCCAGTACTCACTGTAGTGTACCTATTTCACAGATCATTAATCCTGTTTCTTTTTCTCTATGGTCTGTTTATAGGTTAATGGGAAACTACATAGCAGCGGGGGAAATTCCCTAGAAAGGAAAAACTGATAAAATTATTTACCAAAGAGGAATGGATAGAAATAAATCAGACAGGCACAGTCCTGTCCCATTTTATCATAGTTTACATTTTCTTTTACTAATGCTGGAAAAGTTATGACATCCAGTATGACTCAGTGTGCAAAAACTTTGTAAATACTGGCTGTAAAATCATATTTGGGTATGTTATGAGTTGTATTCAGAAACTGTCTCTCATTTTAATGATTTAAACTCCAGATCAAAAATTCTGTGTAAGAAAAAACTATTTTGTACGTTCCTGAATATAATAATGTTTTGTGAAAATAGTCCAGTCTTTCAGTCAATTCTTTGACCAATGTAGATGTCCATCATGTATGAAAGAGTAGTATGCTTGTCCATCATGCATGAAAGAGTAGTATTCAGTTTTGATTATAAAAGCTATTACACTAAAAATGCTCTTTTAGAGTAGAGTTGATATTACTGCATACATTGTGCAATTATTAGTTTTATTATTACAACTTCAGTTGTTGTTTTCCATATTTCCAAATTGGTGCTTCTAAAAACTCTCTCTCTCTCTCTCTCTCTCTCTCTCTCTCTCTCTCTCTCTCTCTCTCTCTCTCTCTCTCTTTCTCTCTCTCTCATTTGTTGTTTATCTCTACATCCATTTTTTACCATGAAGATAAAACTACATAAAATCATAAGAAATTTGCAGAAGATTAGAAGATCTAAGTGACTATAGGGATCTCTCTGGAAAAAAAGCTGTAGCTGGAGGCAGAGGCAGAATTAATTATTAGTTAATTTTATGCTGCTCTTCCTTCCAAATAATTTGAATGATTATCTCAAAATTCAGAAATAGGGAGTTGGAGGCTATGTAGCTCCCAGGTAATGTAGAGTTTTAAAGGTATTAGCACCTTGAATTGGGTTTAGAAATGGAACACATATATTTTGTTTGGAGGTACCCTTCATCAGTCTCCTCAAAGAATTATGAAACACATGGAAAATAATATTAAAGGTAAAGGTTTCCCTGTCAGTCATATCAAGGGCATGGTGCTTATCTTGGTTTCTTGGCTGAAGAAGCCAGGATTGTCTGAAGATAATTTCCATGGCTAGCATGGCTATACACCAAAGGCTCATGGAACGTTGTTACCTTCCCACCAAAGTGGTATCTATTAATCTACTTGTATTTGCATGCTTTAGAACTGCTAGGTGGTCAGGAACTGGGGCAAGTAATGGGAGTTCACTCCATTGCACAGAGCTCAGGACTTAAACCTGCACTGTCAGCTCTCCAACTGACAAGCTCAGCATCTTTAACCACTGGGCCATCATGGCCCCTGGAAAGTAATATTAGCCCTATCTAATTAAATTAAAGTAAATTAAAATTACATCTTGTTTCTATTTATGTTCTAGCCATGCTTTCCTTTTGTTGGTAGCCCCTGGTTTGCCATGCAGAGGCCAATTGTTGCCTTAGCCTAAAAAGGTGGGGCATTTTTGTCCTTCAACAGATAAACAGTCAATGGGTAGGGGAAAAATGCAACTATCTCAGTCTTTCATTGCTCTTGGAAAGTAGTGTTTTCTTCAGTCAATTGTATCATTGGAGCATTAGTTACTATCTTCTCTTTGCTTAGCATTCAAGCAAGGGTTAAGTTAGATTATAGGATCCAACTATACTGAATAACAGGTGTGAGTCAGGCTGATACAACATGCAATAGAGGACTTTGGAGCAACTCTCCATACCAGGAAAAAAAAATCTTAGTGAGCTAAAACTAGTTGGTGAGTATTTGCTGAACGTTCTTTTCTTTATGTTCTAGTAATCTTCATCCAAGATGCTCTGTAGATAGGGGAGAATGTTGGCACAATTTAATAATGTTAAGTAGCATGTGCTGCTGGGTCATTTTACAAATAGAAGCAAGTAACTCAAAGGCAGCTGGCACTAAGATGGCAGCAGCAGCATCCTGTAGATTACTGTTCCTGCAAGGCTAAGCTGCAGTGGGGATGGGACAAATTGAAAATATTTTAACAAAAAGAAAAGCTCTGTGTTAATGTACTGGGGGTTCTGCTCTCCTCACAGTCACTGAGAAGCCCTGTGGTACAAAGCAGTTGGTAGGACTTGTCCAGTGCCTCTTTTAATCTATAAAATATCCAGATGGAGTGATATTAATTAATCTTTTTACAAACTGGATCTCTGCAGTTGCCATTTTGAACTTCCTATGATGCTTATCACACAGCAACTAACTCAGATTGGCAGAGCTGTTAAATACTCACAGATCAGAGAAACAACACTTGTAGGTATTGCAAAAGCT